GGTTAGAATCATCTCCGAACTCAAAATCACTGATAGCATCAACAAGAAGACGATCATTTAGAAAAGAAAGACAACATATCTGGCAAAAACAGACCGCTATCAACAACACCAGCAACAACAACAATGACAACACTGACTACAGAACAACAAAAAATACACTAGCAGTAACAAGAAACAACATCAACATCATCATCAACAACAACAACAACAACAACAACAACAACAACAACAACAACAACAACAACAACAACAACAACACAACAACACAACATCAACACAAACCACAACAACAATAACAACTGCAACAACAACAACAACTACAACAACGACAACAGCTACAACAACAACAACCACCACAATAGACTCACCGATCGCACTACTTTAGGTTTGTTCCCTTCAGCAATGGGGGTCTGCCTCTCTCTCTCCAGGTCAACTTGAAGTTTTTCCTTCTCTCTCTTCTTCTTCTCTAACTCCTCCTTCTTCCTCCTCTTCTCTTCCTCTTCTCTCTTCAACCTTTCCTCCTCTTCCTTCCTTCTCTTTTCTTCTCTCACTTGTTCAAGCCGAGTGCGTAGATCATAGTACACTGGCTCTTTCAAAAACACCTGCAAATAACGAATCATCATCATCATCATCATCATCATCATCATCATCATCATCATCATCATCATCATCATCACAAAAAAAACAAACTTGGCTGTTAAAACATCTTGAATATGAAAGCACATTGAAAGTGTAAAATATTCGACTGAGAAAGTATTTTGACTGAAAAAAAAACAACAACAAAAATCCTGTGACTGGGAAAGTATCTTGACTATATAAATATCTTGAAAGTGAAATTATCTTGACGGTGCAGTATGCTAACTCTGAAGTATGCAGACTGTGAAGTATGTTGATAGTGAAAATATCTTGACTGAAGTAAACTGATTGAGAAGTACGTTGACTGTGAAGTATGCGAACAGTGAAGAGTGCGGACTGTGAAGTATGTTGACAGTAAAGTATGTTGACATTGAAGTATGTTGACTGTGAAGTAAGTTGACTGTGAAGTATGTTGACAGTGAAGTATGTTGACTGTGAAGTATACGGACTGTGAAGTAAGTTGAGTGTGAAGTATGCTCACTGTGAAGTATGCGGACTGAGAAGTATACGGACTGTGAAGTATACGGACTGTGAAGTATGCGCACTGTAAAGTATGCGCACTGTAAAGTATGCAGACTGTGAAGTATGATGACTGTGAAGTATGTGGACTAAAGTATGCAGACTGTGAAGTATAATGACTGTGAAGTATGTGGACTAAAGTATGCGGACTGTGAAGTATGTGGACTGACCTTGGTGATTCCCACTTTGTACATGTTGGGGTCGGGGCACACCGAGGTGAGGATGGCGTCACAGATCTGACCTTCGCCCTTCATCCCGTAACTGTCCACCAGCTCCTGGTAGCTGGGGTCAAGAGGTCAAACAAGGTCGAACGAGGTCAAACGAGGTCAATTGAGGTCACAGCGTTCCCGAGAAAGCATCTCTTAATATAAACTTGCGTTATTCGAAGAAGAAGAAGAAGAAGAAGAAGAAGAAGAAGAAGAAGAAGAAGAAGAAGA